GCAGTGTGGGGGGGGGGAGGCGCGGGGGGGGGGGGGGGTCCACAGGTTTGAATCAGCCAGAATCTTTGCAAAACACAGTCTGTGTTCTGTGTTGCTACGAAGCGAGAGCCACTTCACTAGAGAGCATCAGCATACATGAACTTCTTCAAATAGGTTCTCGTGCTGTCTTACAGTCAGTCTGACAATGTTCTGGTGACAGTTGACTTAACCGCATTATAGCCCACGTACAGATGTTAAGTACTTCATACTACCCCACTTCAAAAAACCTGAGCCATCCCTTTAAACAATAGCATTAGTGGTATCAACACGTTAAACTAGCACATTTTCCGTCCATCACAGCTAACATTCAGAATCACCAAATTGTTATCTTTGAACTTAGAGGTGTATGTATTTTTAATCAAACAAAGAGATCTGGGATATGAATTCAAAATGTCTGATACTTGTTGGATGTTTTCCAAGTGACAGACGCATCCGTTGCAGTATTCTGTGATGAATAATAAAAGTATATCATATCATAAAAGCACATCAGAAAATACACCAAATCTGTCAATATGAATAAAGACAACAGCAGATAACTTACTTTTGTATCATGCGATGGGCACTACAGACGGAGATGTATAAATAGAACAAAGTGACGAGTCAGGTAAAGAACGCAGTGTGCTTTTACAATAAAGCACGATGCCTCTTGTTGTGATCGTCCCGTGTCATTTGGATTAACAGCGCATTTGTGGTCCTCTAATCGCAGCTTCTGAGAGCTCTTTTTAAATCTAATTTTCTATAGTTTTTGGCGGATGTTTGGATGCAACGACACAAGTGGCCCGCTCGGACATTTAAATGAGCAATACACGACATTCAGAGCATTGACGTAGCAACAGACAGCGCTCGTCTATGTAACGATATCGTGGAGTAACGTCTCCCTGAGCAGCTTCCCCAGGAGCTGCCGGCTGTTAGCAGCCATGTCCAGAGCCTTTGAGAGGTGAGACAAATGCTCCCAATCTCGTATTATGGACCTAGAGTGTTTTTTCTTTGGTATATTTTGGCATTTCTGCAAAAAACAAACACTTACTGAACATCATTTGAGCTTGGAGCGATTTATTTTATTGATTTATATCAATGCATTAGAGATAAGTAAGGCTCAAATCACACACTGTTCAGTATCAAGTGTGAGGTCAAATCACTGAATATGAACCAAAAATGGGACTTTTCTCCAAGAGATGAAAACAAACACAAACTCTAGTGAGATCAAATTCAAGTATTTTCTACAACAATCATAACTGACTCGTCATACTTCAGAACACTCAGGACCATAAAGGTGAAGTTCAAAAGTAGGATACAAATGTGAACATATATTGTAGATGCTTGTTTCCCTTAGACACAACAGCAAGAGATACTATTTTAAACAGTAAAACAATCTAAATAGTGCACGCTCTCATCACCAGGTACACAGCCCTTAAAATAAACAGGGATTGACTTTAATCCCTTAGGAAACGTATTACCAGCATGGTAAGCCCCATAGCAACAAGTGCTTCTTGTTAACTCAACCTTAAAAATGTGAACTTCCGGAATGTTGATTGAGTTTTTGTGTCCTCAGTGAATATGGGGTTTTATTCACACGTTGAAGTTATCACTAGCAGAAAGCTTGACCAGCCAGGGACCAAAGCCCTGCTGCAACAGGTACGCCCGCAGCACCTTCTTGGCCTCCTGGTATGGCTTCGCCATCCGCTTCAGTGACAAAACAGCAACACAAGCAGTACAAATCACACCGGTTCTTACAGAGAACCTTTCTGAAGCAAATATGCAAAGATCTTCACAATATCGACTTTAAATATGAGATGATGGAGTGAAATTAGGCGTGATGCCTGGAGCCGTGTTTACAAAATGAAAACTGAGGATTATACCACATTAAGTTAAAATAGAAGGTAAGGTTTTGATTGCAAATAGAGTGAATGTCAGTAGATGTTAATGCTTTCATCCTAGTGTTACTTGGGTAAACATTACACAGAGGTGAGGTTACCTTAGCTTCTCCGTAGGAGCTTGTGGCCAGCAGGTCCTGCCTCTGGGCGTCTTTGGCCACCAGCTTGAAGCGGTGCAGCATCGCTGCTTTGCACAGACGGCTGGCAAGAGCAGGGCCACTCTTAAAGGGAGACCTACAACAATATGTACATCGATGTGAAGAGAGGCATAAACAGCAGAACCTATCAAGCTGAGGAACACTGGCTGCAATCCATTTCTTATTCCTCATTAATTATGCTGTGATCAACAGTAAACTCTGAAGGGATTTCTCAATTTAAGTGCAATCCTATCTAATAAGTTTGAGGATGGAAAACCACCACCAAAGATAAACTAGTTGCCAGCAAATATAGCTGAATGCTAAATCTGGCGGCTACATATAGAAACCCTACTGTCAGCCTCCTACAGTGATCCTTACTCCTCTATGGTCTTGCCCTCCAGGCCATCCACCACCTCCAGGAAGCTGTCTCCTTCGCTCCAGTTGATTCCGTAGTGGCTTCCGTCGGAGGTGTTGGTAGCCACAGCAGGAACCAGGCTGATGTGGGGTCTCATCATGCAGTAGAACATGGGCAGCTGGGGGGTGATCCCCTCCACGCGCTGGCTCACGGAGGTCTTCATGCCATGGATATCACTGCAGCCAACGTCACCTATGAGATTGTAAAAGGTAACATCAATCACTTGATTCTCTTTCTACAACTCGGGGATGGTGGAATATTGACTCAATGGCCTTGTTCACACCCGACACTAGAATGTCTCTACATGCGTCTCGAGTGACCACGTTAGCATTGGATCTCACTTCCCCTCTCTATGTGTAAATGAAGATGTGCATGATTCCTGTTTGCAAAGACCAAATATGTTGCTGTTTGTAACCGGCAGGAGGGAGCGATGCACATCCAGTGACTAGTCTGCCGAGATTAAAAGAAGTAGAAGAAGAAATGGGCTGGGTCTATTCCTTGGCGTGTTCCAGGCAAACCAAGTCACCGAGATATTTGAAGCACCATTTACAGATCTCTATGGGCATTTACAAATGTTCCGACGTTGTGGCCGGCTCACGAGATTTGAGAACAAACCGATGAGAAAAAGTAAGAACAGACGTTTTTTGACGGCGTTTTTTCTCGTTGCGTGCTTGTTGGGAACGCATCAGGAAGTATTAAGACGCCACGGCTGAGACGATTACTAAAACTATATATTTTTCATTAATTAGTTTGTTTTGCAGAAAATGTTTTATTTAAACACGTTGACTGAATATTATTGTATGAAATTCAAGCAATACAATTGTTGATTTTCTGAAAAAGGAAAATAAATGTAAATATTTCTTCACCTTATTTTCTCTTTTGTATATTTACTATTGCTCTTTAATAATAAAGATAAAGCAAAAGTATTTCTTGTCCGATTACTGAATGAATCGATGTAATAACCTGTAGAATACTTGATTATTAAAATAACAGAAAGCTGCAGCCCTACAGTGCGTCAGTGTTTACATTACAGTAGTGAAAAGCGTCCCTGACCACCAGCAAGTGGTTAGCGTGATCGAACCACCGAGCATTCACACCTCCATTTACTTCATCTCATTGCCCGAGACGCATGCTAAAACAAAGTGTAAACATGGTGGTTGTGGCTTCACATCGGACCAATCTTGTGCTGTAACAACATGTAGAACTCATTCATTCCTTATTCTGTCAAACGTAGAAATAAAAAGGTGGGTACTATCTTTGTGTCTGACGGTGGAAATGAAAAAGAGTTCTCTGTAGGCCAGGAGGGATGTTAGTCAGGAAATGAGATGTGAGGTTTCAATTGTTCACAGAATGGCAGCTACCTGTATACGTCAAACAGTGAATGTTCCAATTTTGTTCTCTTTTTGAATGCTTTTATTGTGCGCGTGTCTGAAACTGACCCAATAGTGTCACCTAGCAGTGCATTCGACCACAGTCACAACTTTATTCGATCACTCGTGTGTAGGTGTTCTCTGCAACATTTCACACATTTACAATACAACGAATTTTGGAATTTCCCTCTCTTATAATCATGTGGGTCATACGGCCATTATGATGATGAAAAGAATGGAAAATAATATCCATCACTGTTTTTTGTAAAAACCTGACGGGGAAACTTGAGTAGGCTATTTTGATACCTGTTATATTGTTCTTTAGTCAAACAGAGGATGTTGATGTTGGGGAATTTGTTGACTTGTTGTGTCATCAGTGCATGAGCAAGCAGCTTCAAATCACATGGCTGCAGACAGAGTTATATTCGGGGCTATTTTTAGAGGGACTGCTGTGGGGCTGCGTGACAGCTTCACTCTGTGTGTTAGCTGCTTTCTAATGCTTATGTGACAATGCTGGTGTCTTGCTACTTTTACAGCTTTCCCTGCCTTTCTAATGTACGCCAGATACACAAAAGTAGCAGTAAAATACGACCAGCACTTTAATGCAATCCCATTGTGAAGCAACTACAACTCTTATATTGTGTTTTGACATCACTGCGAGCAGAGAGCAGGTACTGAGCCGACACCCGCAAAGACAATTTCCTGTCGTGGTATTTGTCCGATAGACTTCTCCTACTATCTTTATGAAGGTGCCGATTAAGTTTCATAATGATCTCTTGCAAGCGCTTGGATAGAGACCACATAACTTAAATAATCAAACTTGAAATAAGCAGTTTGGACCAAGCAACCACCACAATTAAGTGAAAGTCTTCAATGAACTAGGAAACACATTGGAACTGCTACTTTTCTCAAATCCGGTTAGCAGCACAAAAGAAGAATCTGTCATTCTGATTTCATTGTCTGACCCAACACCCCTGGAGTGATTCCTTATTTGCACTTGGTGGTGATGCATTCAAGGCAAATGCTCCAAATACAGACTTTATTATTGCCAACATGGTCAGAATTTGGACAATGTAGCACGGAAGTTGACCCTTTTTTAGTAAAAACCCTGACAGTGGTCCTATTGTGACTTGTTGACTTACCGACGAGGATGTTTTGGACATAGATGGGCTCAATGAAGTGGCTGAGCAGGGCTCCCTGGTACCCGAGCACCTGCCACTGAGTGAGCTTGTCTGTGGCCGACATGCTGACCACCGTGGAGGCGGAGTGATCAAAGGCTGACGAGAAAACTGAGAACACCTTGAACAACAAATAAATCAACTTGTAGTTATGCAGCGATAGTGCAGGTAACAGTTGCAATGCCAGTCGTATTAAAACTCCATGATGCAATATACACTTTGGTTGCATATATCAGAAAAGCAACATCCGCTCCATGAGAGAAGGTAACAGTACAACACCTTTCCCTCCACTGACAGGTGTAGGCTGATCTCGTTGTTAACCTGCCATGCCAAAATGGAGTGCGGGTTCAGGCGCCTAAAAATAGAGCACAGAGCTGAGGAAAATCATCTGAAGTCATTGCATTAATGGAAACATTATTCCTGCTACTTCACCCACAATTGGCATTTTGTTGCCCTTACAGGCTGTTTATACTGGAAGCCTTAGTGCTCAATCCATATTTAATGCACGGATCAAATTTCTTTTCGGTCGGTGGTTCACATTAGTTTTTAGAATGAGGTCAATATTAAACTCCAGTGTGAACAGGTCTGAAATGGGCCGCATGCGCAATATAATAACAAAGACGGCACGTGCAGCGGTACGGCAATAAAAATAACGGCCACTGAACGCAGCGTTTAGAGTTGAATCAGAAAGTTGATGTGCAGTGGAAGAGCAGAGGACAGCGAGGAGAAAGAGAGACACATTTTACAGTATGGCATCTTGTGAAGCAATGGCTGCTACGTCTCTACAGAGGAGTGTGTGGATCCAGAGACGAATGTCATTTGTGCTGTTCACACTTGTGAAAAAAACTGATCCCAAGTCACATAAGCACATTCTTTTTAATTTGGGCCACTTTTAGCCTGCATCGTGAACGTAGCCATAAAGACCTGACTGCTAACAAACAAAGCCATGCGAGGTTGAGTGAAAAGCAACTCCCAATACTTGGTTGTCATGACATTTTCTTTACTTGTGCCGGTGAAACCATCACTTGATCTGCCTCATGAACCTCTGAAGCCGATAATCAAACACTCACAGCTTGGTCTGGATCTGAGAGGCTCCCTTCGGCAGCTGGTTCACATAGAGGTGGAGGGTGATGCCGCTCTTCAGGCTGAGGAGGCCGCTGCTGCTGCTCTGATGGAAGAAGGACTTCTCGGTCAGATTGGCCGTTTTGTTGAAGAACATCAGCAGGTGCCGGTACAGAAACCTGAGAGGACAGCAGGAGAGTTGCTCACTATGATGTGACATCTGAACAATGTGCAGTGACAGGGTCTACAGGTGAAGACCGACACACATTAACACACATTTAATAATAAGAGCACTTGCATAAGAACGAGCACTACCAGAGCACTACATATATTTGTATGATATATTCGGAGGCCGTTTGCGGCGCATATAACAGCTGTTTGCTGTTCTCTCCCCCGGTGACTGCCCCTTTGATTCCCCTCAGTCTGTGGATTACTACAATGTGGAAAATGTCATTCGGACCGAAAGTTCTATTTCCACCAACTTACCTCATGAGCGATCTCCTCGCATTTACCAATGCATGTGAATCGTGCACGATTCGTCCACTTGACGAGGCACCCTCTTTGGTATTCAAGCTCCCCGTGCCGAGAGCGACCACCTCGTATCCGCTGGCTGGACAGGAGAGGAGTTTGTACACAGGTTAACGCATGGGATGACCTTTACTTTATACACGTCGTCATATTTATTATACAGGATACGGCTGACAGAGTACCATGAACAGCGGTACAAACTGCAGTTCAGTCTACTTTTGTGAAGCTTGTAAAGTCCATCTTCTGCAGGGGCCGTGTCAGAGAGGTGGTGTTTGAGGCTGTGCAGTAGATTGTGGTGGGGTTGTATTAATTGCATCATTCTAAGCTTACCTGCTATTTTGTCCACAACATGCCAACGATCACTGCACTCTAAAATGAGCCTACTTAAAATACCAGTCTATATTGGTTCGTATCTTTACGAACACACCTTCGGACCGAGATGTCCTCCGGCGTTTGTGAGAGCTCACTTACAGGTCTGGATGATGAAAGCTGCTGTGGTGCCGGCACAAGGAGAGAACTCTGGGTGGCTGTTCATCAGTTTCGTGAGCTGATCCCTGACAGCATGTAGAATCTGGAGGTTCACTGAACTGGTCGTTTCTGAAAAGCAAGGAAGGGAAATAAATAAAAATCAACTGGGCTATAACTATGAGAGAGGTATATAAGGTATGGAGATATGCACATTCTACGATAGCACCCGTTTGTACAGTAGTCTTTGGCTATACCTTGGAATGTAGAATGTAAAATTATACGAGTGATCCTTCAAGTATGTCACCGGAGCTCAATCCAAACAGGTTACAGTTCCTACAATTTTCATCCAATATGGATGTTAACCCCTTAAGATTTCACCTTAGAGAGACGAGAGTACCAAGCGAACTGAACAAAAAGAAGTCACACTGTCCTAATATTTGCCATCTCGCAAATGGGAGATTCAAGAGTGAGAGAGTCGTATAGAATATACAGAGTTACCCCGAATGGCTCTGCAGGGATGGATATCAGAGATGGAGGGCTCCTCTTTCACTGGCAGTGGTGGAGGGACATCTAGGGGAAAAAACAGGCATGGAAATAAATGAAAATGAGTGTCACTTCATACAATACTACACTTTACTGTGACAATGTTCTTAAAAGTCATTTTTCAATAATCCTCCTCTACCCACCGGTAGGGTGCAACGGATCATAAAAGTCACGGCTCGTATAAAAAACACAATAACACAATTCAAATGATGAGGAAATAAAAGATTGTATTTTTATGGATTAAAACAAATCTTGTCATGGGTAGTTTTAATGACGTTTTATAAGATGCTAGGAGCTAGTGTAAACAGGTCATAATTCATTTCTAATATATACTTATGCTGTTGTGAAATCATCTCATGTAATCTCGGAAAATGTAGCGTTGGTGAGAATCAAAATCATTCCGGCTCACCACGTTACAATGACGTGTACTGTAACAGAAACACACTATACTCTAATCCGCAGTAGATCCTCACCTGACGCTTCAGGGACGAAAGACTTCAGACTTTCCAAGGTGGGCAGAAGGTCCGGCAGAGCGAGCTGCGCCGCTTTAAGCCGAGCCGCCTTCTTCGTTATCCCCATGCCGGTCTTGTACTCGACCCCATCAATCACCACACAGAAGGCAAAATAAAGCCCTGGTATGTTCCCTGAGGAAACAAGAGTCAAGACATTTATTGAAGAAACAGTTAAAACAGAATAAATGATCTTTCTGAGCGAAGTACTTTGGTGTGTAATGGACACTAGAAGAGGTCCAGTGTCACTGGTCTAAAACTTGAAAGAGCTGCTTTGCTAATATGCTAAACGTTATCTTGTTCTAGCCTCTCAATTGGGAGGATCTGCTGCTTTTTGATGTCTTTTATAAATCAATCAACAGGCTCTTGTGGACCAATAACAACAGTAGTGGTCTCTGAGGTGAATGTGAATGCCCTGATGAGCAGAGGAGCGTCGCTGTACCTGTAGTCACCGTCTCCTTCATTTCCAGGTGGAACTGCAAAACGTTGGCAAGCTGATGGAGCAAAGACACGGCGTTCGTCTCGCCTTCGGCGTATTTGTCAATCAGAGATTGAGGGGAAACTGATGGCTTGAAAGCATAACCTTAGTGGGTGGAATGAGAAGGCAGATTAAAAATGTACACCTATACATATGAAACATATCTTATACAAGCTTTTTGGTCAAACCCAGACCTCATAGGGGAGAATGCAGTGTTAACGTTATTATCTCAAGCAAAACTCACCACGTTTAAATGTACTTTTCACTTTTTGGTTAAAATGGTCTTCGCTAGGACGATGATTCAAGGCGGATGAATGCGTGTGAGGGTCGCTCAGTCCTGATGTCGGCGTCGGAGGAGCATTCTTCATGAGGATCTGAGCGAAAGACGCTCCTCTGGAACCGCGACATGGTCCACGGGCTGGAAACATCCTGGAAGCTTTCACGATGACTGGAAAGACGAGAACACCAAACTGTATGATTAACAAGAAACTACACCTAAAAAAAAAGACTGATACGGACATCTTAGCTCCCAAAGGTTCAAGGGCATCCATGCAGCCTGACCAGCTGTGACCACTTATGTTCAGTGGTGTAGTTATTCCATATTAAAACATGTCATACAACAATAGAAGTATCATTCTCTGCAGAAACACATGCAGTAGATCACTACAATTACAGTGTCCGCACGTTGTCAATTTAAAGTGGCTAGCAAAGCCAGTTCAATAACACTGGAAGTGAGCTAGCTAACAGTTAGCTACATTGTTAGCATTCGCCTAACCTTCGCTTTGTCGGGGGAACTTGCTGTAACGCCAAATATCACTTTCTACAACCTACTAAAACTAAATACAGCTACAGAGTAACGTTCCCGTTAAAAGCGTTGCCGTTAAATTGAAGGCAAAATCTCTATTTTAGAAGCACATTATGCTAAAAATGTAACTTTCCAAACTCACCACGCTCGAAGTTGCTACCTCGTGTGCAGCGAATGCTTCAAATTCAACAACGCACAAACTTATCTTGTATTTTCTTTTTTTATTGTTTTGAATTTTTAACAGTTTCGAAGCCCGTGGGTGACCGTTGATGTCCAGGAACGTGTGCGTGTCTGACGCACGTGCACGTGTCTGTGCGTCAGGTGGTTGTCGGCGGTGCCGTGCAGAGATCGTTTCTGTGAGAGGAGGGACTACACTGTTTGGGAAATTGACGATGCTGTTTTGTGGAGAGTTTTCCGAAACTACAGTTCAGGTTGCACGTCGGTCGAACTGAAATCCGAGAAAAAGCTGTAAAGCTATTGGTCAGTTGGTCGGTCAGTCAATCACTCTGTAATTATTGGATGGATTGGCAATCTTTTATTTTGGTGTGTTTGGTGATCCCTTAACCATAACCATGTATAACACTTGTTTTGATACACTGTTTTTTATGTCTCGTTTGCACTATCTATGCTGCTGTAATCCTGTAAATGCCCCCACTGCGGGACTAATGAAGGATTATCTTATTTTATGAAGGAGTCACATTTGTGGTTTTGAGTTAGTGTAACACCAAGGATCTATTGAATGGTTTTCTATGAAATGTGTTACAAGCATACATGACTTGTAATAATTGTGTTAAAACCTTTCAAGCGTCATGTGGAAGCCCTATGTGTCCGATAAGCCTACATGATGCACTGATACCATCTTCATTATTGACCATTATAAACTTCACTCAGGAACAGGAATGCTCTTTTGACATTTTAGATTTGTTTCCAGTGAGATACCAATGTCTTTATACTGTCCTGCCATATAAACTATATATACACACACACATAAATAACTTTTAATTCTGTTCTATATATGTGTTTTTATGAGCAATTATTTAGTCATGGAAAGGAACAGAGCATTGATAAGAGTAGCTCCTTGTGTAACAGATTGTGTATGGACCCAATTGCAGCACACAGGATTCCAGGAACTGTTGGCTTTTAATGTGAACTCAACAGGTACATACAGTGATACAGCAAAGCTGCTGGCAGAGCAGCAGAAACAGCAGGCAGAATGATTCCATGTCAGGACTAAAAGGCTGGTGAGTTTACCGGGAGTCAGCGAGACGGGTAGATGAGGGGCAGGAAGGGTCGACAACAGGAAATCAGTCCGGGATTAAACGCTGGAAAGTCTGGCATTGAATGGCAAAGAACAATCTTGCAATCAGTGTTTGAGAGACAGGAGTCTGTATAGTGGCTTGATTAGTGATCAGAGGCAGGTGAGTGAACAGGTGAAGGGAGTTAGACTGATGAGGAGGGAGTGGCTAACAGGTAGAGTGAGGAGGGTGTGGAGCTGACCTGTGACACCTTGTAGTAATAAATCATAAAGATACCTCTCCCTACCAAACGGCCACTGTAGTTCTCCGACACACTTGGAAAGGGGAGGCATGTGTTCTTTCTTGCAATCTGCAAGAACTAAATCTCACTTTACTTTAATAAACAAGAGAACTTTAGCCTAAAATATGTCGAGGCTGGTGACTCTAACTTGGCTAACTTACTTATTCTCAAATATTAGCACATGCTACTGTTAAAAAATACGTAGTATGTTGTTGCTCGATATGAATAAAATGTAAATCGATTAATTTATTAATTACTAATTAGCAAAAATTATGCAATTCTGTCCCTCTGTTTGAACCAATTTCTACCAATATCTATGCATGAAAATTGCCCGCCAAGTACTTCCTGGAACTTCCGTTGATGCGACTCTCTCTTTATACTGCTCTGGCAAAGGCAAAAAGCATGCTAACACACTAAACTAAGATTTAGATTTTAAACATCTGTATGTTTACATTGTCATTGCGTGCATGTTAACATGCTGATGTTGGCATTCAGCTCAAAGCATTTGAGTGTCAGCATTTATTCATGACCTGTTAGCACCGTAGGTCACTTTTTAGGCCCAAGATTTGTTTGCATTAGGTTTTGTTCCAATGAAACTCAGTGTAAGTTATCAAACATTGAAGTGGGAGGTGATTGAAAAGGGGCTTCCTCTCTCACCGCCCACACCCCCCCGCTGACATGATGACAGTTGTGGTATAGCGGTACACAGAGGCAGCTTCCTTCTCATCTTGTCAGACATACATTCACACTCCTTCTCTCGATGCCTGCAAACTATACAGTATGTATCCTCTCTTAGACAAAACTAACTCATCTAATAACTAATTTTGGAATTTTCCTACAGGCGGATCACTTAAAATAGTTGTGTGCACTGGCTTATTTTGTGACCTCATACTGATACTGAGGGGGTTTCACACTCTCCCAATTTGTTATTTATAGAAAAGGCCTGGTCTCGTCATAGACAACGGTAAAATGACGAGGCAGGTCACGGGACACTTGGCCTAATATTATCACAGATGATGCAATCAGCGGATAATGACTGCATTCAGCTTTGCTGACATAATTTAGATTAAGTTTCAAAATCCGAGATGAATGTGAAATAAGAATTGCATCTTTGATTGTGACGTTGTTGTACCATCTGTGCATTTGTACTGTACATACTGAGTTATCGCTGTATGTTGGATTCTGTGAATTCATATTTTGTGTTTTTGTCATTGCTATTGGTATTTGAAGAGTTGGTACCTTTCACCAAATTGAAATTACCCAAATCAATTGTTCGTGTCCTTATTCTCACTGACAAATCTGGTGCCCTCTTAGTCACGTTTTCCCATTCACCTGTCATTTCATTCAGCATCATAAGCTGATGAGGGTAACGGAGGAGGGCCAAAGTTTCCTTTCTTGTCTTAACCTGAGGAGACAGTGGAAAGTGGTCACTAATGTAACCTGAGATACCTTTTTTTTCAACTTTTCAATGGAGGCATGATAGAAAAAGTAAGAGAGCCACTGCTTTACAGTTATTTCAGTGTGTAGAAGAGCTTTATGGTGCTTGATATTTCATTGTACTATATGTATTTTCCAGCCTTATTGCTGAGTGGGCTCCGTGCAGTGGACATGAGGGGGTGGCTGGCTGTGGTTAGGGGCTTGACAGTCCCTGTGGACAGGAACTGCAAGAAATGAAACTTTTGTATGTTCAGGGGTTGTTATAAAAGAATTGACTGGCGTCAGTGTTTTCAACCCCCCCCCTTGATCTGTGAAATACCTTCACTGGGGGGAACTGTTATTACGAGAGCGTAAAAGTTAAGTGGAACAAGCAGCCCACAGCCAGCGTGCAGTGAAGGTCACCAGGAACAAATATGGTTTTACACCCCCGCAGATTGTACGGACGAATTTTGAATTGACTTTTCTCATCAGTCACACTTGAAAAGGGAAAGGACGCAGTCTGAAATGAGTTTGCACGCTCCATCCTTCTGTTAGTCTCCCCATAAGCAGCTAAGACGAAGGAAAAAGTTGAGTCACTTGACCCAGTGTTCCCATCAATGAAGCTGGAGGAGAAACTGTTGCTCTTTGTTTGTCTTCTGTGTGGGGGGGAATGCAATTAGCTCAAGGTTTACATGTTTGCAGAAATAATTTGTATTTTAAACACGTTTTTTTTCAATCCATTTTGGGCATTTCGCTCGTACTCTTCCAGACTTTTATAGTAGAGTAAAATAAAAGGAAGAAGTGAAGAAGTGTGAAATGTAATTCATGTTCCCACAGCACAATCCTTGTGCGTAAATGATGAAGGCGTAATTGCTCAAGAGAAAAAGGTTGAAAAGTGCATCAATCTACTGTGGGGTTGTTCAGCACGGAAAGATCACAACGGCCTCAATCGGAAATGAAACCCTCGACTCTGGAAATATTTGCTGTTATTAATAACCTGGTGCATATCTGCACCCCCTTACCAATTTGGAAAACCTAAACCCCAACAGAAAGCCATTAAAGGCAGCGGAATTTCCCCCAACGGGTGAGATTTTCAGGACTCAAACTCAGACCTTTTTTATTTTTTATTAAACAGGCATTTTGCAAAAAAAGGATACAGAGGCAACGGACCAGAGCAAGACACATGCATGAGGTCATGACACACAGGATCTGATGCAATTTGGAGATACCAACAGACACTTGCACATGCATGATGTATATTTAGATATCAATCTTCCATGGTTGCAGTCTTACTTTTGCTTCCACCCACGGCAGCAATTCTGATCAATATACCAATAACAGGCTTTCTTAACTGACATTTAACACTGTTTAAGTCTTATTAAAATAATTTACGTGGATATTATTAAAATACAGTATGTCACTTAATGATCCATGTGTTTGTATCATTCAACCACTGATATTCACGTCATGTTATTTTGCTTCTGTAACAGTAGAGGGCAGTGTAGGAATGGAGATAGAACTGAAGTCAAAGCCACAAACTGAAGGTTACACACTTCATGTGATTCATGTAAAAAACGAGGTTTTCACTGTGAAATACTCACTGTGGTGAGGAGTGATGATGGCAGACATCAGTGATGAAGATAATGAGTCACAAAGGTTGGGTAGCTGACTTTAAAATGATGAGGTAGAGCAGTTTTGACCTCATCAAAGACTGCCACATATTACAAAGGTTTATAAAAAACAGATAAATAAAACAACACAATGAGATTGCAAAGGTACATTTATTCAAACTAATTTGTTTTTGTGGTCATCGCAGAATCTATAAGGAAAACATAATCATTTCAGCTGTATTTAATGCCATTCACAGTATTTTGTGCACCCTTAGACAGCAAATTTGCTCAGAAAGTTAACATTAAACACTTCCAAGTTTCTGATTTACGATGAGGAATAAAATATCCCCCTCTCAGGGCTCATCACAAGATGCACACATAGGTACTTCTTTCCAAGTAAATACAGGCAGTGCAGACGGCGTGGTCGCACTGGGGCCTGTCGGGTGGGGGTGTCACAGAAAAGCAGGCCTTCCAACAAAGTGATAAGATCAAGACCTTGATGGTCAATTAGGGTGTGGAAATGTTGAAAAGATACCAAAGTGGTATCATAAACTGTATTTTCTCTAGAAAATGCAGACCTATCTCTGTCAGGATTTTCTTTCTTTTAAATCTATCACAAAATGATATGCCAATTCTATATAAACTATACAAAATATAATTAACCTCTATAAAACTTTTACA